AGCACGAGCCGAGGGCGGTTCGTCAGGGCTTTTTAATAAGTTCCCTCGCCGAAGGGTCCGGGCCGCCGCTCTCCTCCGGGCGCGGATCAGACGTAGCTGGTTCGCGAAAGGAAGCACTGGAACATCTTCAGGGCCTGGCCAGGCTTGTACTGCGGCACCATGTGTCCGGCGCCCTGGGGCGGAGAAGGCGAGAAAGACAAGGCGGGTGAGTGGGCGCCCCCGGAAAGGCGCGGGCTGCGGTGGCTGCGGACGGCCGGGCCAGCACCTTCGCCGCCAGCCGTATTTCAGCCTAGGGTGGCGAGTGGCAAGGAGGGGGCGTGCCCTTTTGCTGCAGGGGGACCGCTGGGAGGGTTTCCCGGCCTTGGCAACTCGAAGCGGTGCGGACTTCAGCTGTAGCAGCGGAAGGGCTAGGGGGGCGTCGAGGCCCCTCAGCCCACCTTCCTGTTCAAACCGCGGTGACCGGCTCTGCTTCTGACGGTTACGTCCCGTCGTGCCCTGTCCGTGACCTCCGGGTTTTCTCTGGGCCTGGATGGCTAAGCCCATTTTTTGTGTTGGCGTAGTGCTCTGAACCGAAGCCTAATCGTATGGACTGAGTTCACACAGCGTCGTGCTAAATGTTTGTTGTTTGGATTGAAAGTGTAGTGCAAACATTCCTTTTTCTATCAGTGTGGTAAAGTGACAGTTGCTGCTTTAGGGAGGATTACCATTTGCCAGAAAAAAGCCCCAACTATGAGCGGGTTTACATATTGTACTAACCCATATTTTATTGTGACTATTTCTTGAACAAACTGCCTTGGTTAGTTCCACACATCCCACTAAGTCAGAACCAAATAATCTGCTTAGTGCAGCATGAAAATCCAGCCCTTTGCTTCGTTTCTGGTGATCAGTTCTGGAGTGTTTTCCACAAGCTTTTCTGTAAAGCTGAGATGGGAGTTTTTTGGCCTTCCAGATGTTGCTAAACCACAGGGCTCAGCCTGTATAATTAACACGTAAGAGATGCTGCTGGTTCAGTAATAGTGGGAGAACCAAAATGTCTCCACTTTGCCATGGAGGATGGCAAAGGGATAGAAAATTACTTGTCTCGAGGGCACAAGGGCCATTTTAAAGAATAGTGGGTATTTTTTCCCCAGGATCAAAACATTTCCTATTTTCATAAATAAGAAAGATGCAGAATTTTTTTTAAAAAAGAACACCAATCATGTATATATATATATAATGCCTTAGTAAAATTGTCGTTGTTGTTGTTAGTTTCTGTGGATAGGAAAAAGAGAGGCTTCAGCTTTTTTTGATGTGAGCTTTAACAACCACTAGATGTGAAGTCTACTGACCTTTACAGTGAGGAATGTGATATTTTTGTATTCCTTGAAAAATCCAGCAACTTGATCATTGAAGTACCATGGCTGATACTCACTAAGCACCTGTGTGATGAAAGGGCAAAAGGATCAGTTGGGGGAGAAACATTGCTGCCATCAGCTTAACTGGAGATCTCCAACCTTTTGAGCCAATGAACCATTAATCAGAAAACACTCATGAGGTTGTTCTCTGCCACTCCTTTTAGCCTCCCAGGATACCTCCTTCCGCATTCATTTTTGCACAGACCAGCCTCCTGCCTTTGTTTCCTCAGAATGTCTATGTGGGTATAGGCATTCTGGGAAATAAATGTGAGGTTGGAAACACAGCATATTGGATATGTGACATACCACAAATTAGAATACTGGAATTGGAAAATGCCATTGGGTCCAACCACCCACTAAAGCAGGAATCTACTTTAAAGAAGATAAACTACTAAGATAGGACTACTCTTATATTGTATTTTAAATTAATTTTATCTTTCCTGTAAACCACCCAGAGTCACTTTTTAACAAGATGGGTGGTGACAAATTTGATATATAAATAAATAAAAATAAAATAAATGTTCTGAAATGTCTAGGCTTAACAAAAGCCAAAGAAGTCAAAGGCAAAATTCTAAAGTAAGGTAAAAATTATGAGCTTCTACCAGATTACAATTAATACAGAAAGCTAATTACAAAGCTCCTGTATATACTCAGGGTGACAAGGTCAGCCCCTTTCTTAAGCAGAACATGAACATAGCAGTTGACTACTGTAGATTACAGTAAAAAAGACGTTTGGGGGTAACAAAAATAAGCAAGGATTTCCTTGATTGGCTGGTGTGGGTCTTCTGGGCTGTGTGGCCGTGTTCTGGAAGTTTTGTTTCCTA